GGTTCTTTCAAACCCCCCGAACCCCCCCCCCCCATCCCTGGCTACGGGCCTGTCTTTGATGAATGGTCGATACCATCACTGCCCCATAGGTTAAAACTAAATGAAGTTTCTTAAGTAATGGCTTTTTTTTTTATGACCAGCGTTCCAGTAGGCATATAATGTAAAGTAGGTAAAATAAATATAGACAGAATAAAAGAGCTGAACATCCGATATTATAGCTTCTTAGTCATTTCATGCTTACTGACTTCCTGTACCCTGAAGAGCCATTTAACAGTGTATTCCATCTGAAACATGTTTCTAAATATAAACAAGTTCAGCGAACCTTCACAGATTCTGATGGCTTCAAGCCAAGTTCCAAGTCTTATGGTTCCAAATTGATTTTTTATCAAAAACTTCAAACACGGACTCAAACATTTTTATCAAGAGGGTAGCAATCTCAAATAAACCCAGGTTAGCCTTTGTAAATCTCCCAAAGAGTAGACAAATATTTTCATTGCTTTTTATCAGCGTTTAGATGTGAAAAGTGTGATAGACGCGTGTTTTAAGTAGTTGGATCATGGTGATGGATGTTTGATAGTGGTAATGAACTCATTCAAAAGGTCTGTTTTGAATCAGTAAGGACTAGGGTAAAGGAGCTGAAAAGGCTTTTCACATCCTGAGGTATATGACTATGAGTAATACAGATAGACTCTACTGTAAATGAATAAATGATAAATGATGAAATAATAAATCATAATATTTTTTATTCCATTTGCCAGAGTTAATTATGAATCTGAAAGTGTTTGGCAAAAAAATTGCTCGCCATTGACATATATATATCTGAAATCTTACATAAAAGGCAACAGACATTCTGATCTAAGGCTTCGTTCACATGCAATGTCTATTTTCTATTTTCTATTTTCGGTATGTCTTATGATCACGGTCTGTGCACTGAATATCCCGCGGCGTAATTACTGGCAGCGCGAGCCAGTTACTTATAGTAACTTATAGTAACTGGCTCGCGCTGCCAGTAATTACGCCGCGGGATATTCAGTGCACAGACCGTGATCATAAGACATACCGAAAATAGAAAATAGAAAATAGACATTGCATGTGAACGAAGCCTAATACAGTAGAAAGACGGAAGTTTTACCGTTAAGCGTCCAGGATTAGGAGCTTATTGAGAGAAGTAACTGCTGTGTTGCTTGCTTGCTCCTACTAATTATTTCCAGCTTCAAAAACATTTTTCTGTAGGCAAGTATCTTATCATGGCATGATGAGCATGGAGGCTCTTTCTCTGTGTTATGATATAACCTGCTCAGTTTTACCACAGGCATGTAAGGCGAAAACATTTACTAGTGTGCACTCTTTCGTGGTTGGTTTACGTTTTCTTNACGCTTGTGCTTTTTTCATATCCATAACTCTAAGAAACGCTACATCCGGGTCCTTGACCGGCTTAGCATAAAAAGCGGAATCTTACAACAGCGGAACGAGTAGTTCAAAAAAGTTTTAGAACAGTGAATTCATTCAAATGTCAAGTCAAATTAAACAAATAGCACACTTATGAGGGGACTTTGAAGAAAAGAGAGAGAGATAAATTAAATCAAAATTTATCAAATGACGTCAGTTCAATGCATTCAGCTCACTGGTCAATAAAAAATAAATAAATAGAAAATAAAAATTGAAAATGAAAGTACCATATCTGGCCCAAGTCTGGGCAGCATCTGGCAAAATGTGGCATAAATGCCAGACTTTGCCAGACTTGGCCCAGATCTGGCAAGTGTCTGGCAAAATGTGGCATAAATGCCAGACTTTGCCAGACTTGGCCCAGATCTGGCAATTGCCTGGCAAAATCTGGCCCAGATATTGCCAGACGTTGCCAGATCTGGGCCAGACGTGGGCCAGATTACTGAGGCTGTCTGGGTTGACTTGTCAAACAGATCAGCTGCTAATATATCTAATGCAAATTTTATTGCAAGTTGATTGTAAACATTCTTGCCCTATGGAGCAATTGCGGAAAACACTATTCATGTATTGGGCTCTTGAGGTGCGTTGAGTAAATATAACTTTTAATAGCTATAAGAATGAACCTCAAGGTGTAGAGAAAAAATATGTAATTGCCATTTTGTCTACCAGTATCTCTTATATACGTGTACTGTATATTTATAGGATATTGAAGGTCTAGACATATTCATGGAAACTTCTACCGGTAAAGTTCACTGTTGTCCTGCAGCAATGTTTTCCTACATATTGTGTCCATAGATATAAATCTCAGTCCATCTCAGTGACTTAACAATTACTAGGGGTACATTTCTCACCAGAAAACCCTACATTTAGTAGTCCCCATGATATAGTATAGAACCAACATATTTACTGGTAGGCGGTTCTTACCTCCCCTTTAGATTGAACTCTGCTTTATAAGCCCTAAATAATATCATCTATTTGCATAAAACAGGAAATTAAATATATATGACGCACATTGTAAGCTCTCTCCAGAATGATGGAAATCGGCTCTCTTTTTTTACTTGACATGATTACGTGAAAGTCTGAAGTCTAGGTCAGCTAAATGAGAGCTTATGGGTCAGCGTAACCTGCAGTAATTAAGGTGCGGGCTTATATTTTTTACTGGGGATGAATTATTATGCAGTAAATTTGCCTTGTATGTGAAAATGAATATCGGATTTTGTTTGTCATTTTGTAGAATAAAATGACATGATTAAGATAAGATTCCTAAATGACACAATTTTTTCATTAAATGTGTTCACTAGTATGCGTGATATGTGGGAAAATAAATTTAATTGAATTCATTATATCTTGCAGGCTTTCTGGCCAAACAAGACTATATACAGTGGCAAGATTATTTGAACCTTCAAGTGTCTGTCGGTAAGTTAATGTTATACTGACTTTACCTGTACTGTAGGACTTAACCTTGAGAAGCACAGGGAGCACAAAAATTCTGCAACATCAACATGCTTTTTGGTGTTCAGTGATTAATTTATGCAGTGAATTTTTTGACTGGTAAAAAATATAATTCTCTATTTATTCTTTAAAGCTTTGGTAACTGACTGGGCAAAATTAAATTTGCCCTTAATCTTTTAAGTTAAATGTCTGCTACAGTGAGCTAGAAATGAATGGGATATTTTAGGCCACGCTTTAAGCTGAGACTGCCGCACAGGTGTGCTGATTGTTGACAGGTACTTATATCTGGGGCACCCTGCTATTGTAACAGTTTGTAAGGTTAAGCCTTGGTTATAATCAGGGGGTATTGAAGTATGAAGGACCATTACATAATGAAGTGTGCCGTATGCATACCTGTGTAGACTAAACATATACCTATACCTAACTGTTCATAGACCTGGTCCTGTAAGGGATAATGTCAAAGAAAACGGTGTGATAACTTAATTTGCAAGACTGACTGACGGTAAAATTTTCGACACATTTTGCCAAAGGTTGGAATAAGGAGTCACATTGCTTTGACAAATCAGTTGACGCACAGAATGTAACCCTTGGGATTTGCCATAAGTTGAATTCCAAGAAAATTGTACAAATGGCTTCTATTTTAAGGTTACTGTATTGTTTGGCACATCAGGTGACAATGGTGGTTACTAGTAGGGATTGGAAGTTACAGAGAAGGATATAGAGAGAGCATTAGGAGTTTACTGTCATATTTCCCGTAACTCCGGATAAAATATACCTGCCTTTAAGTTATTCAAGATTATGCAACTTTTTAATCATTCTGATGAAAAGTGTTTGCAAGAGTTTTATATTATTTAAATATATACTAATAGATATATTTTATTTATTTCTACAGGTTCAGCCAAGGTCATTTGTGACTCGTCAATACTGCTCTTAGTGGTGAACTGAAGAGGTTGACCCTCCCATACAGCAGGTACTGTTAAAAACTTAGAAGAATGAATCTCAAGGGTGATCTTGAGTAGTCGAGATTTAACCATGGGGAAATACATAGGGCAGAAGATGCTGTGTATGTGTGTGTGTGTGTGTGTGTGTGCGTGTGCGTGCATGCATGTGTATGTGAGTGTGTATGTGTGTTTATGTTTTAATATGGATGTGGATTGTAATATTGTTGTCATGGGTAAGGGTAGATAGAGAAATAAACCTTGCTCTAGTCTATAATGTTCAACATATCAAGATTTCATTTTCATTGCAACATGTTTAGTCTTTTGTTGAAAACGGGAGCAATCTTAAATTTCATTAGTTTTTTCTCACATAAAATCTGAGACACATAACCAATTTTACTCTTGCTGTAACTCATGAAAGTGACACGTATGATGCCTAGTGACATTTCATAGGCCAGATTTACAGAACAGACAAAAGTTGCCATTGATTTCACGCCTACGGATCTCTGACTCACGAATTGTTGAAGAGCTAATGTATTTGTCATTGATTTTTTCCATCCATATTTTCACAGACATTGAGGATACAAAGTGTGCGTTCTGGTGGGTGTGTGTTGCTATAAGGGTGAGTCAGTTTTTATTTTAGGCTCAAATATAGATAAGGATGCATTAGACGTCCCATAGACTTTATCGACTGAGACTGCAAGCTTTCAGGAAATACTTGTTGTGGCATTATACTTTAATTAATTGCAATCAACATAGCAATGTGCCTTTTCCCAATGCAGGGTAAGCTGTGAGGATTGTGTTTGACACTTTTCTTCCTGTAAACCTGTTGTTTTCATAGCTAAAATCACATATCATGTGTTGTACGTGCCAGTTTTCAATACAGTAAGTGTCAGAGTTTATCTGTGGATGATTTCAACATAAACAATTGCAGCTGGGTAGTTTTCTTGATAGAATTTGCTTTCTTCCTTTGATGCTATATTACTTGAGCTTATTTCGGGTATGTAAGAGGAGTTTTGATTTTGATTCAACTCATTGACAAGTAGTTCAGACGTGTCTGAAAAAATGTAAATAAATCTGCTAAGAAACCATTAAAATTGCCAAACAGACAAAACAAGGATTTCTATTTGTCAGAGATATGGACTTGCCCAGCCATTAGATGGTGGGGGAGGGGGGGGGGGTAAAGAACAACCCTTCTGGCCAAATAAGGTCCCCTCTGAATCAGAATTATATGTACAAGGTTTTATCAAGTTAGAAAACAAACTCCCCTTGAAAATTACTGGCTGCAGGACTGCTTTTGTTAAATACAATGAAATACGTTTTAAAAAAAAATTATTTATTGCATTAAATTCAGGCTCTCTTCTTTTAAGGTTATGCTAGAAAGATTTACTAAAGGGAGGACAAATGAGAGTTTCCACCGTGGTCAGGTCAATCGTGGCCAGGTTATGCCAAAGACCATTTCTTTTGCTAGTCTCTTTGCTACAGGGTGATTCAGGGTGATTGAAAATGGTACGGCAAACGATTACGTGACCGATTACTTGATCTCCATTCCTTTGAAACAGTATGTCACGCTGGATTGTTTGATATACGACTTCATGTTAGAAAAATGTCAAGGAAATGAATTCTCCATACATCACAATGTTTCCAATGGGTTTTTAATTTGTTGCCATTTTGGGTGATAGCATCTATGAAGTAACTACGTGAGAAAGTGACGGTTGTTTTCATAAATGTGCATCAATAACCCCAAGAAGAAAAAAATCATCGGTTACTGTATCTCATCTCCTGTGAGTCAGAATTTTTTTTTCAAGTTTCCTTTTGTGACAGATGGGGCACGTGGAGTATCGATTTCCTTATGTCTGGACAGGATGGCTGCCGCGGTGTTAGGTAATATGTTGAGACAGACGTAAATGCCAGGAGAAAGAGACGGAAAAAAAAAGTTACCTCGACTCATGTTATCTTATGAAATTTTGATCAGTATCTTTTTGCTGGCATTTTTTGAATGTAGAAAGTGAAAATGCTTGACAGTGGTTGCCAATTTTTTATTGGTTACGTGGAAAATCCAATTTTCAGTGACTGTTAAAGAGTAAGAGGGCATTTCCAGAGATTGAGATCCATCTTACTAGATCGACATAACTCCCTAGGGGTTCACACTAAATTGCAGTCAGCCGACCGCGCACGGAAGTTAATTACCCCCTTACAGCTTGTAGTAGGCGGGACAGACATTAAAGCCGGATTATCTGACAGTAATCTAGTGAGACTCCCCACAGGGATAGATCGATCTAAAATCTATGGGAATGCGCCCTAATGTTACAAGTTACAAGATGACAGTAATTTAGATTATATCTGGCTAATGAAAAATTAAGATAAATGATGCCGCATTGACTTCTTCTTGCCAGTGGAATAACATATTTCATGTTGGCTGAGAAAAATGATATGTATTTGTTTGTAATTTTTCTTTTGGACAACAGTCCACATGGGCTGCTCTTGAATTCTATCAGTACAAGAGATGTATGTTGTCATATCATCACCTGCTTTTCTGTATTCTCCAGGAGGAGGTGTGTTAAGTGGAATTAGTACACAGTATCTAGTATGATAGAGTTGTTGATAATGCACCCTCAATGTTGGGTGTGAACTCACCCCTAGACAACATGTCTGGTCAAAGTATCTGTGAGTTAAGTCATTTGAAACTTGGAGTGAGTTTACAAGATCACCTGCAGCTAAGTAAGACATTTTCAAGATTCGCCTAACTCCACTTCACCAAGGATGCTTCTTTCAGGTACTTAAGTCAGATCGATGAGATAGTTTCTGAAACAAGATAGGGCATAAATTGTTTTTATTTTTCCAAGAGGCAGAAGAAAGGCAGGGGGGAAATATCAAAAAGACAAGGGATGTTGAATTGGAAAATATATTAGACTTAATGATTCCAACTATGTACACTGGGATTTTCAGTTGGGACTGTAACAGAATGCATTTTATATGAATTTCCAGAACATGCAATTTGAAGAGAGACCTGTAACATATCCATGACAGTGCAAATTGTCAGAGAGAAAATGTAAGATTGTTGGCTAGGTTGCCATAGTAACGGAAATGTCTATCGCATTTAGAGCAAATGATTTAACTAATTTCACCAGGATTTTCACTAATAACTGTCATTATCACTTACAACTATGTCATTGTGTCATTATCAAGAATGAGTTTCCTCAGAAAAGTACCTCTCCAGAGCTGAACTGATTAAGCTTTTTTATTATTTTATATCTTAATAAAAACAAGTTATCTAAGATGCAAAAGTCCCAGACAAACATGATATGGAAAAAAATAATAACTTGGCAACTGTTCACTGTTTCAATGGCCACATGAGTCTGTCTGCAAATTATTGATCATTAAAAGATGTGATTATATTTTTCCTTCTCTACATTGATCATTCTGTCAAGATTTTAGCAGTTCAATATATTATACCCAATATTATGATGATGATTAATGACAAATAAGAAGTCACATATCTTGTACTTTATCAGAATGGTTTTTGACTTTCTGGGTAGACCATTTCAAGACACTCGGTATGCTTTATGGCAAGAGTCAGCAAATTCCCAATTCTTTCCAGAACCATTCTTTGTGCGTGTGGCTGTACTGGTACCTGCTATTTCTGTGTCTTTATATATACTTGTAGCATTCTTTACATCAATGAATTGAAGGGATTGCCATTGCCTTGCAGGAAAATGCTTATGGACCCAGAGGGTTCTTATGTAATTGAGAAATGTCATGTTATTTGGCCATCATTAAAATTGTGCATGTTTGGATGTGAATAATAGATGTTCTCGGGAGATGTGGTGGCACTGGAGTGCATTGGAACATCGGTACAAAACCTTGCTTGGTACAAAAATCTAAAGACTTACGTATCTTGGCAGATGTGTACCAGCTTATAGTCTTGCACTGTTAAACATTTGTGGACTTTTTTTTTCTATTGACATATTTGCCTAGTTAAAAGAGATGCCTAGGTGATTAAGGTTTTCCAGAATATCATCAGTTTGCAGGGATGAGTTTTGGCTAAAAAAAGACCTACTATAGTTGTTATTTGGCTAAGATTGTCTTTTTATTGTGAACAAAAAGGTTTGTGTGGCATTAGCTTTTTAAAGATTTTTTTTTTTAGAAATTACTCTTTTTTAAAGTTAATTACTGTAAGTTAAAGTAAAATAAATTCTTTGTTTTAGCCTACTAAGTACACTTATGATTAGCTATTTTTTAAAACTCTGAAGAAAGGCTCCTGGTATGTACACACACGCTTCAGTCCAGATATTAGAGTAGACAGGAAGATGACATGAATACTGTCCAGATCTGTACTGTTACAGAGTATTCACATGGCACAACGTGCATGCTGCATTTACTTTGCTTCTTCATTATAGGTTGACAAAGTTTATGATGAAAAAAAACAGAGACAAAGCAGAAAAAATAATTGTATGATTGTTGATTTAATATATATAGATCAATTGTGTTTACAGCAATACATTTTGACACAATGCTGTTTTGGGGATTCTACATAATAGATAACTACCGTGTTTTGACAAATTCCATTTCAAATTGGTAATAGCATGAAAAATCTTCTGAAAAATTTAACCCAACTGCAAATCATATATCAAGGTAACTGTTACTTCAATTCAGAGAATTTTTTTAATCAGCAGTTTCATTGACAAGTGATTTATGACACTGCCTGCATGGAAATTGCAAAGTTAAGGCAGTCCCAGTTATTTGATGCTCACATAAACATAGGTTCCCTGGCAATTTGTCAGGGATTTTTCTGGATACATTTTCACAGCGCTGGATAAAATTCAAAGCATAAGATAAGGTTTTGACAATAAATCATTTTAAAATTTGTATATAAACTTAAAGTACTAGTATTTTTTCCAAGCAGAAATGTATAAGTATTCCCTATGTAGGTCTGCAGTGAGTTCCTTGCTCATTAACTGACCGATAACTCTCGTGTGCACGCACCAGGGCATGGCATGTGGGCTTGATATTGCCAGAACTTAAGTAAAAATAAGT